AAACAGGTATGACAAAACTGTCATAATGATTAATTCAAATGCGACATTGACCTTTGAATGAATTTGGCCATCAAGGTCAAATACATGTATTAGATTTGAATTAGATTTTGTTTCAGAAAGTGATATTTTCAAGAAGTATTCTTTACTCCTAAGAGTAAGAAAATGTCAAGTGTGTCCCCTGCTTGTAGGTGGCTTTGGTCGAACTATTACGATCTCTTTTTAAAAGAATCATAAGCAGCTTTATTAACAAAGTAATTTGTATGTGGAGATTATTTTCTTTGGATATAACAAGTTTTTATGTACATATACAGATTATGATATTCAAATGAAGATTTAAATGGCATATTGATATCTTGATAATGGAATTAGGAATTACATAATGGGAATGCTTTATCATAAATTTAAATTTGTTATGTTGATGAAATAAATTTATTTCCACACAGGCAAAAGAATACAAAAATGTAGTAGTTCCCGTCTGTGATCAGTTAAACATGCCCCTAAAGCACGTTCCTAATGCCCGTACCTAAATAAGGACCAGTAGTTGATACCCGCCTCGAAGATTCCAACATTTCTTGGCTGACGGCTAATTGTCCCCATATATAACCTAATACGTGGTCAGCTCAGAGACCAGACATGGATGTAAATTTTAAATTGAAACTACCTGTTTCATAATCATACTTAGCTACATGTAATTTTGATTAATCTCATAAGTTTGCACAACAAACAAAAAAGGTGATATTGAAATATTGTGATATATATCGATCAAATTTATAGTGAGTCAGTGAGAACGTGACTGGCAAACACCTCTTATGTACGCACGAAAACTGGTGTACAAAACATAGCAATATAAATTGAATAAACTAAAACTAAAACGACTAGATATTAACCCTTCCTTATCCTGCTGGACTCAAAATTATAAGCACAGAAGTCCGTGTAGCCTGGCCAGGGTTTGTACTATTAGTAGCGCATTTGCTTCGTACTTTGACGTCATTATCATCATCAGGTAAAGGGTTGAAATAGCACGGCAATCATGGCAATATAAAACCAGACATTTCAAGTGATAATATAAAAACATGGGTAGTGGAAACTAGCTACTATAATAGTCACTGCAATACGATAATAACATAATCAGACCTTTTCTTTTCTAGTGGTGTTAATTCTCTTTGGTTTGTACTGAAACAAAAACAACATTGTTAAGGGAACAATTCTATTTTTTTGTGCAAGACTGTACTGTATATTTCTAGAAAACGAGAAGAAGAAAAAACAAAAAACGTTTAATGCTGTTTGCTTTTTGATATTTTTCATTACCCGAGTCACTTTAGCAACTCCGTAAAAATGGTATTGCACGGCCGTGCATATAGTTTGGCGTGAAGTCATTTGCGTTATAAAAGCGCACTAAATGTTAGCGCGTCAATGAAAAAAGAGTCTTTTTCACTTTAAACAGCCTTTTTTGTAGGTATGTGATAAAAGAATATTACAGTCGTATAGGTGCACTACTGAATTTATTGAACTAGAGGCTCGCATAATATAATTGTATTTAACTCGTTCAATAAATACAGTATTAAACTTACACTCATTCATTATCATACTCACAAACGTTTACTAAATAGTTTGACCTCAATGCAAGCTACGTGCATTGAAATGAATTCTAAATGTTTAACAAAAGCTATTGTTTGACATTACTACACTTCATTCAGGTGTCTGATGCAAACAGTTTAATCATTTTGTTTTATTAGAACGAGCAGTCTTAGCTTCTTTTACATAAAATAGGTAATCTTCTTCAGACATTAATTAATTTATTGACTAACTAACGATCACAGAAAAGAATTGAGAAAACTACGCGTACAGCGCGTCACGGTCAGCAAAATAGCTAGCGAGATGCAAGCCATTGGTTAACCTCGTGCGGTCAGACGGACAAGCTATAGTATGTTTGAAATATGTCAGAAAGGGGGTTTCTTTTTATTTTCCATCATTTTTTGCCCCAAGGGTTCGAATTTTTTATTTTGGCATTTTCCAAAGTTTTAAAATTGGGTTTTTAAATGGCAAATTTTTTGTTTGGTTTTTTTTTTTTCCCTTTTTAAACGCCTTGTAAATTTTTTTTGTTTTTTTTTAAAAATAAAGTTATTTAAAACCCTAAATTTTTGTATACCCCCCTCCAAACCCAAAAAAACTGAAAATGAGTTGAACATGGGTTTTGGGGGTACTTGGCTTTTAAAGTATGGAATGAGAACTTGAATTGTAAATACATTTTTTACAGTTTTTAAGGTCTTTTTCATTATCAAGTATTACACAATCAACGCACCACACTTCATACTTCACAAGTCTCTTAAAATCAATTTATGGACGTCCACTTGTACTGAAATGTTTAACATTCCAAGTAACCGAGTGTCTGATTTGTTTGCAGTGCCTAGTTTTTTGTGGAGGTTGTTTTGAGTATCGCACATGTACAGTAACCTTTCTCGGTGCATGTATCCCTGCATTTTATCAAATTTTAATGCGTTATAGATTAATATTTTTCTCCATTATTTCGGTTATTGATTGAAATAGTTATAGCTGAAAGCCCCACACCACGTTTAACCGTAGCCTTATGATTAATGTAAATGTTGATTATGTTTTATTTGTCAACTGATATGCGATTTATTTGACATGTGTACTATAAATCTTTAAAAGAAAGAGTGAAATGCGATATTTTTCTATACCGTTGTTTATAACATTCTCTTCTCGGGGGATATTGGTACATATCCAAAATGTCATTTCATACATAATTCATAACTTTCGCTGGTTTCCAATGTTAAAAGTATCAGACCTACAAATGGTCAAAAGGTCGTTGTTAGGAAACTTACCTTTACGGTCTTTGATTGCTATATTTTTTTATCGCGGGTCATTTTTTATAAAGAATGCTATGGCATCAACTTGGTTATATCAAGTTATGTTGAAATCATTTTCGGTTTTTACGATACATGAAAGAAAGAAAAAGGCTCATTTACAAATTAAATGAATGAATTACAAGTATATGTTATATGATATGATTCAAGTATACATATTTCGACATACATGTCGTTTTTAATAAGTTCTGATGGGTTGTAGTGCGTTGAAATGACGTAATCTTTTTATTATATTCTATTTTATTTTTCTTTCCTATACAATGTATTTATATTTTGTGTGCATTTTGAAACCGTTGACGAAATAGTTTTTAATTGTTGCGTCCAGTATCACGCCGTCTTTGTGGATTTTTTTTTACCTAAACTGGCGCCGCACAAGTTAATGATTAAAAAGGTCAGACATCCAGCAGACTGTCGACCTCAGTTGTCGCTTAGCGAAACAGTAGTGAAACATTTATCTGAATACATGCTTAATAGCGTTCTTTCATTATTTTTTTTTCTTATTTTTATTATTATTTATTATTATTTATTTATTTATTTATTTTGCAGCTGACTCTCTCGTAAATCGGCACTTTGGAAGATTTATCATAAATTCAGAAACATCTCTTTAAATGTATAACCTATTTTGGCTTTTCTCTTTCCAGAACTTTTATAATAAGTGAAATTAATCTACGCTTTATACATGTACCAATGTTTTTTTTAAACTTTTTTACTTTAACTCAATGCTTTTTAAAACTCGGTTTTCTAAAACTTACAAAAGTGATATAAATAAAAAAAGAAGAAAAAAAATTCTTACTCAAGGTCTGTTTTTTCTCTCGGACCGATATTATTGTCCGTCATGTTTCACTTTTAATCCAGCCGAACTGTCACCGACACACAGACGCGATCCGAACTGCTATCGGATAGCAACTCGGTAAAGTAGACTAAAATTGTTAATCTTTAATCCGCATGGTTAGCGACCAGACATGAGCTATAAATACCGTGTATCTCTCTGTGCTATAGTATTTAAACTTGTGTATACTCAGCGGAAATTAATAACTTATAACCAATATGTATAATAATATAATTGTGTTATTTCTACTCTACATGTACCAATCGATTATTATTTCTTTTCAGATAAAATTTATTGTGTTTTTTTATTCAGTGAAATGCAACAAGTATATACTATAGTTCAACGGTAATGTTTGCCCGTGCCTTAAAAAACTGTACGAATTAATATCATTGACGATTAATTTGCAATAATATTGTTTATTATTATTATTATTATTATTATTATCATGAATTGATTGATTGATTGATCGATCGATTTATTTATTTATTATTTTAATCATTATTGATTGATTGATTGATTGATTATTTTATACATTACATTTTATTGTTCACTCTCTGTATGTATGTGTGAACGTGTACATGTCCATACCTATATGTTTCTTTGTGATATTTTCTGGCTTATCATCATCATCATCATCATCACTATCATCATCATCATTGGATTGTACCATGTTACTTTTCAACAACAACGCTATTATCTAATTACATTTGGTTTGAACAACATGGAAAAAGATAATTCTCCTTCTCGATTTTAGAACAGAGCGTTAAAAAATTATCTAAAGAGATCAGTCGCATAATTTGATTCGATATCCGTTTGAGAGATAAACATCAAATGTATATTGAAGATAAATTGGACATATTGACAAGGCACTGTTGGCATAGAAAACATTTATCGAATACACGTGCCGCTATTGCACCTCCATAAAAACGGTATTGCACGGCCGTTTCATTTTTGCTGTTTTGGGCGTACTTTAGGGTTTCCGTTTTTCTCTTTTTGTCTTCATTTGCGTTATACAAACATATAAAAACGCGACAAATGTCTTTTGGGTTTGTGATAAATATAATAAAAATGTATTATATTCGCGTAGATTCAATACTAAATTTATTGAACGAGTTGATTTTAAGCGTACATGCGAGCCTCCGGTATTGAACCCACATTCATTCGTCGAAAAAAACACAACATAAGATTTTGCAACATTATGCGAAAAGCCCAAACAGACTCATATTTTTCGCGCAATTTAAACTAAACATTAAGGTTTAAATGGGGAAAAAGACTCGAAACATTACCTTATTTGTTCAATCCTTCCTGAAGGCCTTGTAGACTTCCTGGGTGAATACATAGATGCTCTCGATATCTGACTTTTCCATTTATTTGAAAGAGATGGCAAATTATACCGAGTCAATCTTGTTAAAAAATCATTTCTCGTTTGCATGTGTTTAAGATCAGTAAGTGTTGAATATGTGCTATAATTCGGTCCACATATCTTTGAAACATTTGTGCTCGTACTTTTCGGCATCGAATCATGAAATCGGCAGTTGTATAACTGAAAACCGAGAGGACATCTTGAATTCCAACCAAGGTCCCTCTCAAGGTCCCTCTCAAGGTCCCTCTCAAGCATTATGTCCAGATTATGTCCTTATTTAATTTATTTATTTTCTATCTGAAAAACTCATTTACAATATAAGACATTTACTATTACCCTTAAATCTGACCCGAACCGATAGTTACAACGTTTTGACGCTAGTTACTACGTTCCAAGAATTCAACGTTAACTACGTCATTGACTACATTAAGTGACGTAATTATGTCCAAACTTAAGCGGTGCGGTTAAAACGTTAAATAGCAATACAAAAATAATGTTCAATAATTTATATATCGTCATTGTCATACAAATTATTATTGTCGTTTCAAAACTTATGTTTTCAAATATAACAAAACCTGTTGAGAAATGAAATGTGTGTCTAAGGGAGACACATCTTCAGTGCATAAAACAATAAACTGCTGTGATATGGTTTGTGGAGTTGTCCCACTTAGAAGTAAACATACATGTACACATCTTGATAAATAAATATCAATAACGCTTATTTTGAAACTCTAAATATCAATATAAATGAATGTTTGGAGGGTTAGAAGTAGGCCTAAAGGGAAAAAATATTAGAAAGGTTTATGCGAGATGTTGGACTCTCGGAATATTGAAAAGTTCATAAAAATATATACATTTAAAACGCCCGTGCAGATTTTGAGGCAAGCTATGGAAAAAATAATGAATTGAAAATCACAATATCGTCAGGGTGCTGAGCAGTTTTTTTCGACAATATTTACTGAACTTTCAATACCAGTAACACTGTACTTGTGTATTACCAAAATACATTTTTTTATTTGAAATATTTCCTGGATTTTCCTTTGTTACTCGTCTGCTAGACTGCGACTAAATTATTTTCAGTAATGTATCGAACAATCATTCGCACATTTTGATTTTCTTTGTGCATTGTCATGACTGTTGTATTTTTAAAAAAAAAAAAACGCAGTCCGGTGGTGTTTTAATGTAATCCTATTGTGTTCATCTCTATCTGGATCTCTTAATGAATTAATTTGAGCCGTGTCACGACAAAACCAACATAATGGGTTTGCGACCAGCATGGATCCAGACCAGCCTGCGCATCCGCGCAGTCTGATCAGGATCCATGCTGTTCGCTTACCAACCCTATTACAAGTAGAGAAACAAATAGCGACCAGCATGGATCCTGATCAGACTGCGCGGATGCGAAGGCTGGTCTGGATCCATGCTGGTCGCAAACGCATAACGTTGGTTTTGTCGTGACACGGCTTATTTATGTTCGTTTTGTTCATTGCAGGTTGAAGAAATTACAAAATTAAATTGTTAAAAGCTCACTAATCTTCAAACCGGAATAAACATTTACTTCTGTTGAAGGGGTAAACATGTGTTTAATAATGTTTTAATAATGGATAGATAACTTATAAACCTTTAGACATTCAATAATGTGTCATATAGATAGTATAATGTTAACAAAGTGGCGGTTTTACTTCCATACCAAATAGTAAAATCACATTAACTATACCGTACCAATAGTCAGAAAGAAAAAGAAAAAAAAAAGTTCATCTATATGGCTATGAGTACGTTTTGGGACACCCAAAAAAAAAAAAAACAACATTTTAAAGAGATAAAAATTATAGCATTTTTTAAGGGCTTTATACTTATGTCTAATACTACAGCAAACTGAGCTCATTTGATTGCTTGGTGTTTAATCAAGACAACTTCCTAACCATCTTTGTACGGTTGTGAATCAACGACGTTAACGACAACAACAACAACAAAAACGACCTCCGCTTATTCACCCGGAAACACAAACAAGCCTATAAGATTAAAAGCGAACATGTTTTGGTGATCCATATAATAGGAAATTAACATGCAGGAGGTAGGGGGGGGGGGGGGCGGCGGGGATAGTGATGACATGGAACGCGGTAATATTAAAGCCGATATACATGTATTTTTAACCCAAGCACATATTTGATCATCCAAAAGGTTGCTTTTTTGTGTCAAAATATAAATCATACAGCAGACGAGAAATTACTCGTGCGAGGAGTTACATTTTATGTGTTTTTTATATTACGTTTTATCAATTTTAGCGATATATTTCAGGATAACAATTATAAGGAAATTCTATTCAACATCGACCTTCATTCGTAAAACTAAATTTATCCGAGCGTGATGCACTTTCTGTTTAAAAAAAATTCGTACCGATTGAACTGTTTGACTGACACATGGTGCAACAGACGAACACTTTTTTTAAGTTTTGGGTTTTTTTAATTTATTATTTTTTAAAAGAACGAAAAAATTTTTTTTTGAAAATTTAAACCTTTTTTTCCATGGTTTTTTAACATTTTTTTTCTTTTTTCCCCAATTTTTTTTGTTTAATATTTAAATTTTTTTGAATTTTAAGTTTTTAAAATTTTCCCGGGTTTTTGTAGGGAATTTTTTTGAAGAGTTAAATTTTTTTTGGGTTTTAAAAATTTTTTAAAAAGTACTTTTTTGGTTTTGAAAAATGCAGGGAAACATGGAGATTGTTGGGAAAATATTTAATAAGTTATAACAAAATGTTTATTTAATTAATACATATTTTATTTTGGTAAGCAATATTTGCAGGCAAAGCAATGCATTTCGCGCTCAATATAAATAATAAAACAAATTTTTGAAGCGGTTATAGTTACCATAAATTATTCACGGATGTATGTAATTTAAATCCGTGAAGGGTCTATATAAATAGTGTTATAAATATTATCACACAACACTTGTTCGGATTATTGTTTTCTGATGAAACACATTCAAAGGCCCATTAAAGCTACTCTCCTACACAAAACAACATATCAGTTTACAGTATTTAAATATTACGGTGGCATAGAGGGGACATCAGATATATTTTATGTATCACGTGCGCACGCGATAGCTACTACGTGCGCACGCGATAGCTACTACGTGCGCACGCGATAGTGACTGTGCGCACTTAATAGCTACTACGTTGGGCACACAATCGCTACTACGTGCGCACGCGATAGCTCCTACGTTGGTCAATCATTAAGGGCGCACGTAATAGCTATTGCATGCGCTCATAATAGCTTGTATGTGGGCACGTAGTAGCAATCGCGTACGTACGTGGTAGTTATGGCGTGCACACGTGGTAGCTATCGCATGGGCGCGTAGTAGCTATCGCGTGCTTATGTAGTAGCTATCTCGTGCGCACGTGGTAGATATAATATTTAAGATGGTCCTTTTATGCCACCGTAAAATATGCATAGAAGTAAAATTTGCAGTTTTCACGAGATAACTGAGGCCGTTTCACTTTATCACACCCGTGAACATGTTACGAGTAGGACAGTTAGATGCAGGTATAACTTACTTTATAAACCGGGTTCCCGATAAATGTTTTTTTTGTCTTTTTTGTCTCCTTTTAGAGACATAATATTCCATGTTATATTGTGCAGCAACCGACTGCAGGATAAAAAGAACACCCGGTGCAAAACTGTTCTACCCGCAACCAAAATCAAAGGGCTGCAAGCTCAGTGGTATTTTCTGATCCCTGCAATCTAAATCGTACTGTATATCTGTATGTGTTTTCCTGTATAAGTTTATTTTTTATGTACTATAAGTCATCTTGCAGGGCACCAGAGTTTGATACATACGGAATTTTGCATAACTAGAGTTGCATCAAAAAAAAAATTATGTTAATATTTAATGATAGCCACACTTTATCCTTGCATATCGTGGCTATTTCCTTAACAAAGACACTAAAAAAAAAGAATTAAAAAAAATGTTGACTCGACTGGGATTTGAACTCCAGACCTCTCACACACCAAACGAGCGCGTTACCCCTGCACCACGGAGAAGTTTTAAAATCAAAAGCTGATTCTTAATTTAGAATTTCCATTGCATTTCGGGTTAGGGTAATTTCGAGGTATTTTGTTCAGGGTAAACCTGTTGTTTAAAATTGAAGTAAATAATTTAGCAAACATCTTCTCGCCCAAACAGTCCATCATGTAGAAACTATATATTCAACTACTCGACAGTCAGATTTATTTGTGTAGTATTCGGTAATCGACATCGCTAAAAATAGCATTTTCATTGATTAAAATCATATTCATCCGCGTAATTTGTGAGTGTGCGTTTATTGACAACTTTATAAGCCAACGCTACTTTAAAAGTTTGAAGGTGTAGTAATTTGTTGAACACTTGTAACAAAAAATTGTTCTTTCTTTTAAATTGCTGGTTTTAAGCAGTTTTAAGTGAGAACTAATTTGCGTTGTTAGGACTGTTAGGAAATTTTGTGTTAGACCGTGGATGTTAGCTATGTATTATCTGATCTGCGATCAGAAAATACAATAAAACGTTGCAACAGTTTAAAATTACAGGACCATAAACATAGCAAAAACTGTTTTTTTCTTCGGACAAAGACATGTATTAATCATCTAGTTCCATATAAATGTACGAGCTTGTGGTAAAACTTAACTTTTGATGACATTTTATTTCATAAAAGCCCAAACCACAATATGCGGGATAGTAGCTCAAAGCCCCCCAAAAAAGACAAAATTCATTTTCTCAAAAGCTTTTAATTTTTGGTGTCCTGAAACATATTAAAAAAAGTTAGTCATTGCCTTTGTTTGTGAGCCATTTTTATGCTCCCCGAAAAATTTCGGGGGAGCATATAGTCGTCGGGTTGTCCGTCCGTCCGTCCGTACGAACGTACGTACGTACGTCCCAAATTCGTGTCCGGCCCATAACATTGTTATTTGGAGTCGGATTTTAAAATTATTTCACAGAAATGATCACCATATTGAGACGACGTGTCGCTCGCATCATTTGGGTCGCTACCTTGAAGGTCAAGGTCACAGCATGACCTTGCAGCAAAATCGTGTCCGGTCCATAACTTCATTATTTGAAGTCGGATTTTAAAATTATTTCACAGAAATGATCACCATATTAAGACAATGTGTCGCGCGCATCATTTGGGTCACTTCCTTAAAGGTCAAGGTCACAGCATGACCTTGCAGCAAAATCGTGTCCGGCCCATAACTTCGCTATTT